TCTTTCTCTCTCACCTTTCTATGGGTACATGATGTGGTCCGGTATTGGCCATGGTATGCAGATATCTCAAGAACTTATCAAAAGTATCAAAAAATGGCCATCGTGAGAGGATGCATATGCACTTGTTGGTGTGCACTATGTTGTTCCTCCCAAAGTGCTCATTCAGCTTGAGGGCCTCCCTCTGCTCATCTGTAAGGAGCTCGTGGGGGTACTTCTCGTAAAAGGAGACAGCTGCTCCATACACCTTCTCCACAGCTTCTGTGTTTCCACCCCCAGCTGTGACTGTGAGAACAAAGGTAGAGAAGATGGGCTGTGGCTGAGCAGACTTAGCCGGCCATGACTCTAGGGTGGCTCCCATGGGCAAACAAAAGAGGGCCAGGTCTGTGGGGATGGGGAACCCAGGGTAGTGGTTGCTAGGGTAGTGGTCCAGGATCCCTGCCATATATGCTATGTAGTTGGACCTATGCATCGACTTCTTGTAGCAGACATAGATGTCAGACCCAACCTGAAAAAGATTTCAAACGTTTGTGCATAAAAATATCATACAAAAATATCATGTTTATCTGCAATAGTTTAACCACATTTTTGGACTGATATGTTACTGAACCTTAGACACCACTCACCATGGTCCCCTTATTGAGGTTGCGATCTATGGTGCAATAGGAGTGAGGAGCCTGTTCTCCACGACTTGTCATGATTATACAGATGTCGGAGACGACCAGTTCATTGCAAGCAGAGCGCTCACTTGCTCTTCTTTAAATGGAATTAGGAAGTAATTCAGCTACTTTTCTTCATATCAGAAATTACAATATGCATGAAAACTTTCCAAATATCTTTGTAATCTAAATTTTATATATAATTTCTGGTATTTATAGACCATTTTCAACAGAATGTTTCAGAAAGCATTCAATGAAAAACTATCAAACAAGCATGCTGGTTGATTGTTTGATATCTGAGAAAAATATAAAAGGGAGCCAAACGGAAAATTCACTCACCTATATGTCATGTATGTGGTCTGTCCTGAGGGATTGATGTTTGCACTTCGACCACTTGGCGTGAACTCCACAATCTGGGAGTCGGCCATGACTCTTTCTCGACCTTCATAGAGAACTCTGAAATGAAGTTGTATGTCATGATATGGAAAACAATTACTCCAAAGTCTCCTTAAGAGATACATGAATTACATCCCTAACACCATTTAGATATACCAAGCATTCTATATTTCTATAAAGAAAAGTAAAGGTCAACTCAATATTGGATTCCCTGATTTAAGCAATGTGTAACTGCTGAACTAGTAACATACCCAACATCGACAAGAGGTTGTTTGTCCCGCCCTCTTCTGTAAAAATATTTCTGTCCATGGTTGACATTGTCTGTCCCGCTTTTGTTACACCCTTCGTGCTTGCCTCCATTCACCATTTCTTACCGTGTGTTACCTCAAATAATGTGAATTCCTGACCTCAACCGAATAAATGTATGTTCCCCCCAATGTTATCTCGGTTGATGGCCAAGAAGTCCATAAAAATTGGACTTTACCTCTTGAGTCCGGGCAAAAAAGGCAAACTATCTATATCTTCCTTTTAGGCTCTGGATCTATTAAAGCCACAAAACCTATGTCCGACCAATGCGCGGAAGGCTATGTGTGGACTTGAGAGTTGCGCCGTCGCAGGAAAATTCTCTTAGTGGTGTTGGGTTGGCAGGAAGCCCAGCAACCACAAAGTACTCTGCCACACGCCTCTCTTCCATTCTGGGGAAAAAAAGGGAAATTCCATATTATAGTTAACAGGCTAATCTATTAAATTTAAAAAGTAAGATACATATAGTACTTCACATGCAAAATGAGAGAAAAGATCATGCATGAGATAATTTTCCCTGATATCACTTTAAAACAACAATCAACATTTACACAAATGCTACTTCTTCAGCTTATTCACAATATATAACACTTGGTATCAATGACAGACCTCAAGCTATGGGAAAAAGAAAGGAGAACTGAGGTGGGATAGTTGGGAGAGACAGGGGTAAGAAGATAAAAGGACAGGATGGAAGAAAAGAGAAGAGGGACTCTTGCGGGGGAAAGAGAAAAGGAGTGACAGAGGAAGAGAGAAAAGGAGGAAGAAAGAGAAGGGAGGATGAGAAAGAGAAAATGAAAATGAGGAAGAGGAAAAGGAGTGAGGGCAGGTACGAGGGGAGAGTAAAGAGAAAGAGAGGAGAAAGATACAAAGCAAAAATAGAAAGATGGAAAGAAAGATAATCTAACAAGTATAAAATAGACTACAACTCAGTAGAATCACAACCATCTAAAACTCTTGATCAGAAGAACATAACCTATATAACCAATATGCCTATGTAATCCCCATGATCATAAGGCTTCATGCCAGACAATCTCTTCCCTTATATTCATAAGATTAAAATATCTGCAGTCTACTAAATCAAACTTTTTAGAAAGCATTAGATCTGCTGTAACTTGATAATATACAAATTGGTATAGATTTCAGCAAAAATTCTCTATGCTAATAAACAGAAGGATATGGAAGACATAGAGGCTGATTAAGAAAGGTAAACAGAAGAAGGAATAAGATAAGTACTTCAGTAGAGATATTATGCATTAGTGCACTTAATTACTAATCTCACTTCGATAAGTAGTGTTGTCTATTTTACTAAGCTAAATATGTGAGAAATGCTTTGTGACATACAGAAATGCTTTGTTACATAATGGTTGATGCTGTCATCATTTACCTTACAATATAAAAGGTACCTGTGGATTACAGAAAAAAAAAAAAAAAAAATCTCCAACTCAAAGACTACATCTAAATCCCCTACAACTTATAAAAACAACACACCTCTATCTTGCCCTCACGGCTGTTTGCAAAGAATGAATTATATGACTCATACAATCAGCAAGGTTTCCATTTGCTTAGCAGGTTCTTAATATTGTTTAGACTGAATGGCTGTTTCACTTTTATCCTACAACACTTCTACCCAACATTTAATGCATACAATAAAATCTAGCTTTTACTGTATCAAAAACTACCACACACTAACACAGGTAGGTGATTTTTTACTGTATGGATGAACTCGTCAAGTACTATGTCTATAACTCGTCACAAAATCTATTTGACAATCTAAGTTGCTGTGACTGGCATACTTTAAGGCACTGCCCAAGAGGAGGGTTGATGAGAGCTATGGCCTGTGTCACCCCTCTCTCCCCCAAGAAACACTGTCTTCATCTCAGTATGCATCGCAAGACAAAACTGAAACTTGGGAGCACCAAGTGGGCTTTGGCTGTGCATGGCACTTCTTGCAATCTTTTATAATTATTTGCGTCTGCAGTAAATTTAGTTCATATTAGATATTTGAAGCTCACTGGTACCAAAGCCATTCATCATTAAAATCTAAATTCCAACAGACATCTAAAGAAGGTGCAAAGGATAACAAAACCATTGTAGAGTAAAAGAAGAAATTTAACAGAATGACCAAAATATTATGATACTGTGAGAAACACAGAAGTGCCCTTATTGTTCTATGTTCAGCGACTCCACTACTTTCAGTCTCTTCCATCCCCCCACCTCTCTAAAGCTAAAGAAAAACAAACAAAGTCACAGCAAAATAGTTTAGAGTATCCATTACATTTCAGCAGTGTATCACTGTGAGCAGTCTGGTTACTATCTTGAGCTAAGAGGAAGCTCAAAGTCCCTTTCAAAGCTTCAACAGCTGACTGATCTCTTCAGTGACAGCATGTGCATAATGTCTACACTAGTAAAACATATGGGATCTCTGTATTTTCATTTTTTCATTTTCTTTCTTATCCCTCAAAAAATTCTTGTTCTGATGCTGTTCCCAAAACTTTCTGATGAATAATGACATCCATACAAAAGTTGCATCACTTAATCAAAAATGTTTTAAGATAAATTGTCGGTGCAGATCTAGCAGCTGTATATGACTACTTATACAAATATGCACATGTATTACATGTATATGTTATTTATACAGACATGTAGTCTGAGATTAACCTACTGATGCTGGAATGGCATGCACATACATGTCCTGTCCACTGCAAGTTTAGTTTATTCATTTTGTGAACATTTTGATGGCTCCACAAATTCTTAATCACTAGGAGCTCAATTACTAGTTCTACCTGTTCTCACTTGTATATCATTTTCTTTGAATTATGTAGGACTATATAGTTTTAATGCTATAAACTTTATTAATAACAATACGGTACAGCCTTTACATATGACTAAAGTCCGAAATGCTCAACAACTGCTGTAATAAAAAATCTTGCCCCACAGTCAATGCATGCATTTTAATCAATGCCTTGCCTTGCGATCCTACGGCTGGCGAAAATCCCTGAAAATCACTATAGCCAGAGTATTGGCTGGACACATCCCTCTCTTCCTGGAACTGCAGGAGACACACAGACAGACAGACACACACTCAGACCAGAGCCTCATCCCTCCTCTACACCTAGCTACAAAGACTCCCTCAAGGACCTCGTCTTGAAGGCTCTGAAGGGGTTCCTGCAGAAGAGGAGCTCCTTAGGAATCCCTGGAAATCCTTGGGAATCCTGCGCCTCTTCCTTCCTTCCCCAGGACGTCCTCCAGGGCCCTGCCCCACCTACGGCGTCCCTGCCCCCTCCTCGGCGTCCACTGTGCCCCTGGCCGCGCCCTTGTACCCCCGTTGCCCGCCGCTAGGTGCATATATACCATTATCAGGTGAATCTCGCCCTTTACAAAAAGTCAATAATAATTCCCTCTTTCGGCCGCCAGTCTCGCTTGTTGTAGCCCTTGACTCTACTCGCCTCACTCCCTCCTGCGAGGTCCTCGGCGCGACCCCCTACCACCATTGCGCGCCCAAGCTGGCCCCAACTTACCTTAAACACCGAATTCAAGCCATAATTAAAAGAAGTCGTGGTTGTTCGTCGAGCGGGTCGTCCGAGGCACGAAGGGGTCGCTTACACCACCACGACGACGACCGTCGAGCTGCCATAGAAAGCGAAA